CAAAGGAGGTTCCTTCATGGGATCCACAGTACTAACAAAGACATCTACAGGAGCAAGCATGTTGGGTTCACCTTCACGCTCATACCTGAAAAACAACACTTTGGTCAGCAATATAAATTTAAACTATTGAGATCTCAATGTCATCAACTAAACGACCCTATAAAACCTCTTAAGGAACTGTTTGGAAAAACTTATGATAAGTTTATGACTCTCGTAAGCTATTCTCAAAATAAGTTGTTTTTGCTTACTCAATAAATTTTATTGTTAAATTAATAACATAAGTCATCATTTAAAAAGAACTTATTGAATCAGCGTTTAAATAAACTGTGTATCTACATGTACCCTGTATAAATTTCATATACTCAATCACATGAATTGAAAAAACTCAATTTTATTTTGTTTAGGTTGTATAGAGTGAAAGATAATTAATACGTGCATAGACTTGTTTTATGGAACTTGTTAAGCTTTTCTCTTGCGGAAACAACTAGAATAAAAATGATTTTCCTTTTGTTTCTCCATGAAAATAACCTTTCAATTCAACAAAGTTGTGTTTTGCATGAATTGTGCAACCTTTACCTGATGGAAAGACGGTCGAGGTAGGTCTCTCTATCAATAGGAAACCATTTGGGAAACTGATCCAGAATCCATGAAAAAGCAAACCAGATTTCACATACGATAGAGGTTAGCCATAGGCCCAGTGCATCATGTACAGGGTTCAAAATTCTATATCTGAGGAAGAAAGCAAGAATGACAAGGCGTGCCACAATCACCATCCTATATGGATTGATTTTACTTGATGCTATTGGTACTTTCCTTGATAACGGTTGCCTTGCTTCATCCAACCTGCAACAATTTATATTCACAATCACATAGTGACCAAAATATTAGTTAAGGGGTGTCCATAATTTCTATTATTCATTGCATCATATTTAACATATCAATAACTTCATGATTTAATATTTCATACATGCCAGCATCTGGATCTTCATCAGGTTCAGGCCCTAAATTTCCTTGCTGCAATTTCCAGTCTTCCATTCTGTCTTTCCAACCATCCTCTTTCTTTTCATCCCATCTTGCACTTCCTATATTAATCATTATAGGATGCAACACGTTGAAGTTGACTAATAAAAATATTTTTTAAGGTTGTATTCATGTGCACAAGATTTCAATTAAGGAAGAGGGCTAGTTAAATAGACCACTTTACCAGGTTCAGACATTGGATATGGATGCACTCTTTTATGCAATGAAGAAGATAGCATTTGGTCCCCATAAGCATGAGAAGATAAGGGGAACTCCCCACTTACCTGCATGCACGCATGCATGAAGCTTTTTTAGTTCTATTAAACACGAGAACAAATTGTCTAGTTATAATATGGACAAAAATGGTGTGAAATCTTACAGGCCTAGAACGACCACCAGCAATAACAGGAGTTGGGAACTGGGAATTCTCATCATCTTCAAGACCTCTTCCATAGCTCATCTTCCCATGAAGCATCGCTTCTGCAGCATGACCATGCTTGTTCTTTTCATCATCAATATTGAATTCATGCTCAATATCATCCGTGTCCTCCTCATCGTCATCTCCCTCCACTCGCGGGCTCCCTTAACACAATCACAACATCATGAACAAACAGATAAAGATCATATCAGTTTCCCCTTCTTGTTTTTACCAATTGTGTTCAAGTTTAACTAATTCAAAATAACTGGAATATCTGAGTGTTGTCATTAGTACAACTATATCTAACTATAGCATGAAGTGTATGTTTAAGTGTTTGAATGTTTTACATCAACTAAATTTTTAGGCCAATGCATGTCCCAAAAGAACAACGAAAAATGTTCATTTCGTGTCACTTTTATTTATTTATTTTCATCCTTTTTACATGCCGGTTATATGTATGTTAAAAATGTTAGAGTGAAATAGAAAGAGCAAAGAAAGCTCTTTCATCGAAGGATGTAACTGGTAAAAAAAAAAAGGAAGGTAAAATAATAAATTGAATCAAAAAGGAGATAAAAATAAAGTGCATGTTTTAATGCTTGAATGTTTTACATCAACTAAATTCATTGAAGCTGATGGATACCCAAAAAGAAAAATGAAAAATGTTCATTTCACATTTTTTATACATACTTTTTTTTCTTCATTCTCCTTTTACACCCTAGTCATATGTGATGTGATAAAATGTTGAAAATTGAAAAAGAAATCACGGCAATGAAATATTTATGCATACCTTTGAGACGCTTGTATCTGGTCTTGCATTGTGGGCAAAGCTGACCCCCTTCTCTCCTTTCATACTCATAGCATGGCCGGCAGACCGGAAAACCACACTCATTGCATGCCACAAACAAGTCTCCATCCACCGTGAGTCCCACACCATCGCCACAAATCTCACAAACTTGGCCATCCAAGTTTTTCAATGGCTTGGGCTGCACCAAAGCAACAAAACATAATAATATTACTGTTAGTATTAATCTAACTGTTTGATGAAAACAAACACTAACAAAAAAAAGTGGGCTTTTGATTGTGCTTGTTCTAGTAGCTTTCTTTCATTGTTGCTACCACAATATTACCTCTTCATGGCCATGAATGACAACTAGCTCATTGCGGTTATGTGACCCAGCGACTAGTCCAGCGCTGGCCTCCATGACTTGCGGGAATGGGACAATGAGATGAAACAACACAGCACAACACAAAGGGTGTGGTGTGAAGGGTGAGGTTGTGATCAAAGGTTTGTGTTTTATGAAGGAAGATTGGTGCTGTTGAAAAGGTTGTGTGATTGTGTGTATGTGTGTGTGTGTGTGTGTGTCTCTTCACCTAATGTGTCCACATAAGGGTGCTGTTGTTGGTTGCAGGGTCCCCATTGCCTTAAAGCTAAGCTTCGTCTAATTTTCAACCACCATGGCTTTGAAGCCTTCTCCAACAGCCTACGTTGGTGTGTTTCTTGATCTTCCTTTCCTTTTCAAGCTTCCAAGATATTACAAGGCTCCAAAAAGTTTCTCTAATGTGTGTCAGTTCACCGTTTGATCTCATTTCTAAGTTGATTTTCGGTTGTTCAGAAATCATAGTACAAGCTTAATTACTAGTGGTTAAGATGTGATAATGTGCCAAATCAGCCTAATATTGAAAGCTTCACTGATGTGAAAGGATGGTTTATTAGTATCAATCAAATTGAGTTTTTTTCTGCTTTGATGTTTGGTTAGTTGCGGAACAAGTTATTTGACGGATTTAAGCAAAATGACGAAACGAAAATAATTTAAACCAAGCGGAGGTCAACAAGGTAATATATAGAAATGAAAAGAAAGCACTACTTAAAACCTTGTTTTGTAAAGATTGTTAATCATTAATACACTTCTAAGGTCAAAATTCAAACGCTTTTTCTTAACATGGGATGAATGAGAAATTCATATTTATCTCACGTAACGTATTAGTTATGGCTAGTGAGAGATTTATGTTAGAAGATTAGAAATTAAATCTCACGAGGCCAGTTCACACCACACTAATAAGTCACAATGGATGTTTCCAAATGAAAAGTATCACAATGGACATTCACCCCCTTAATAGTCGAAATTAAACTCGCGAATCGCTTGAGTTATACGTCAAGCGTGAACTAAAATTAATTTTAATAATCAATATGTATAACACATTAAGAATATCAAATTATCATTAAAAACGATCATATTGAAATTAATTTTTCAAAATTCGAGTGATTACTGAACCCAATTTTAAAACCAACTCCAGTAAACAGCTGTCTGATTTAGACATTAATTAGCAAGAACTTTTTTCAAAAATGTTTACAATTCTGATTATTTAGAATCCCTATCAGGCATTAGTAACTGTACAGTAATAATAATATAATTATCTCACATTTGGCCATCTCGTAACTTGGACCGTTTAATGCTCATCCACATTTAATGAGGTAATTTGTATATAATCTAAACATGTTCAGGCAATGTCTATGTATCCCAAGCATACGTGACCTATCAATGAAAGCCCCCTACGAATCCAGGGGCATCTTGTAATAAAATTTGTATTTTTTTATTTTTTTTTTATCTTTCAATCTTACCCAAGACACCCCTCCAAACTATGGTTAAAGAAACACCCACTGAATATCAACTAGCATAAGTTATTACAGTTTTTGCAGTCTGAAGTTCTAGTAGCTCATAATAGTCTTACTAAACAATAAAATTGTTTTCAATAAAAGATATCTATGATCTAGACCCAAAATTTTTAAAAAAAAAAAAAAAAAAAAGATTAAAGAGAAGGTTTAGGCTTTTGTGAGATTCCCAGTTATTGTATCCTTCCATAAATAAATTATAATTCATATATAAAATGAATACATAATAAATACATATATGTCATGACCTGCCGGATAAGAATCAAACTCCCTGTTTTCATCTTATTAGAAAGAATAATTTAAGCAACTATTTTCTGCACGAACTTACGTGCACATCTTAGCATACAATTGTTTTTTTAAGTACCTAAGTGGTAATTTAGGAATAAAATATTTCAAATTCTCTTTTTTATCATTTTTTTTTCTTTTTAATATAAAGTATATATATACCCATCTCAATAGATGAGGACTTTGCAACGTAAGGTTAGGAACGAAAATCATACGAAACCATCACAACTAGAAAGGAGCCCTCAACAAGGGAGCTTATAAAAATGCATTAAATTTGACCGTTTGATCCTTAACAGCCGTCAAATTATAAAATCTTTAGTCCATAGAAAAAGAAAAAGAAAAAGAAATAAAAAAAAATACTATTATAGATAAAACGTGTTGCTTTCGGGAGACTACGTTATATGCAAGTTAAAAACATGTCAGCATTCTTGGAAGGTAAGCACTTCAAAGCTAAGCTACCTTCAAATCGTTAGGTGCGTAAGTTGCAGCTTCTACATCTCGCGATAGAGTAGCCACTCCCACTCTGAGACCAGAATATATAAGCAGTAAAAGTCCCCTAAAACATCTAAGTGCATTCCAATTACCATATCAAGCACGCCTATTCATCGAGAATTGATGTTTTTCTTGCCAATGCGTATATTGTTGGAACAGCATTTCTTGATTAAGTGTCACACTACTCACCAATTTGACGTTAATTAGATTTGAATAATAATGTTACAGTCAATTTCAATCATTCAATGATATAGAAATAATAATAATAATAAAGAACTTGCATAAATGATTGGTTAGGCTAGAGGGATCCCTTAACTTGTATTCGTTTAAGATACCATCGTTTAGGAACTACAATATACAATACAAGACTCAGAGATCCCAACCTATATGAAGAATGTATGCTACCCAGAGTCTATTTTACCATTAGAAACTTGATGGCGGTTTTCAGTTATGATTGGACACCGGCAGAGACTTAATCTGCTGCTGACTTGTCCTTATTCTTTGGTGGTTCCTGAGCTTTCTGTAGAGCAGCTTTATTTGGAGCCATAACAATGAAGATGTTCCTGTCACGAAAGCTTTTCGTCTGCTCAGTTGCAAGCTGCACACCGTTCAGGGTTTAGATACAGAATTCAAATACGTATAGAATGGAAAGCCACCCATGATAGCTAAAACAGAAATCAGCATGTTACAGGGGCTTGTTTGGCTTGAGAAAACATTTTTTGTTTTCAATTCATATTTTCCCAAATAATTACAAAAATTTCACCTGGTTTTTACTTCGTTTTTATTTTCAAAGATTTTGCATAGGAAACATAAAAATAACAAAAATAATCTTTTCACTATTTCCTAAACAAATATTTGAAAATAAAAAATAAAGTAAAAGGAAGGGGAACAATTTTGTAAATATTTTTGAAAAAAAAGGTTTTCTCAATCCAAATAAACCCTAATTGTCTAAGGTCAAGTTTTCAAATGCTTAACAGTATCAATCACAACAAACAGGGGCGTCAAATACCTCCCCAACATCACTCTGGAAACGTTTAACAAGCTCGATAGCAATATTCCTGAATTCATTTTCCCGGCCCTTAAGGTTCACTGTGACCTTCACCTACAGGAATTGATCCAAAAGTATTGATACATTAATACCATGAAAATAGTATGTTTTTGTTTCATATATAATATGTGCCACATAACTGCAAAGTTCGAGTAACCTTGTCACCATCTTTCAAAAACTTCCTTGCAGCTTTCAACCGCACAGAATAATCATGTTGATCTATGTTGTATCTGTTAATAAAAGTTTAAAGAAATTAGTAAAAAAGACCAATCACATATGACTGCAAAAATAATTGACCATACCTAAACGTTTAAACCAACCCTGATCATAAAAAATTGCCTGTCACTGCTCTAATTGCATTTGTGTTATTGCTCAGTCAATTTTGGATTTGGATCCTTTACAGTGAATTTTTCACTGCACCAGATACAGTTTTAATCCCTACCATCAATTATCATATATTATTTTTAAATGAAAAAATTCACTATTTCAATGACCAAGATCCTCTCCACTCTAGAGTCACTACAAAGGATCCTGATCCGTCAATTTTGTATCTTAAAACGGAAAATTTCAATGACAGGCTTTTCATAAGAAACTCGTGCTTGATTGCCTCAGAATGGACTGACAAACATAGAAAACCTTCAGAAAAACATTAACCAAAATAGACATATTGATCATGCCCCCAAAATCTCAACACCTAGAGGATAATCTTATTCTTGTGTCAAATGACCTACTCTGTTAGGATAGATGAGAAGGGAAAAGCAGTCACCTACAGTCAGAATAGTTAGCTAGGGATGACCAGAGAAGTTAGTTAGTTAGTTAGAGGGGATCAGTTAGATAAATAGAAGGAATAAGACTGGACGGATTCATTCATAGAATAAGCAAGTTTATATGAAAGGGGAAACCCTTGGTGAAGTTGAAACCTTCAAATGAGGAGAATTCTTTTTCCTCTTCTCAGTTGTTCAAGAGAATTGTTCATTTCCTTTGTATGTTTCCATGAATTTCTCATTAAAATTGTTACCATGGATAGCACAATTGAGAAACATAAATGGGAGAACAGAATAAAGAATTTGGACTTGTCAACAGAAAGAAAATGGCAAAGGCCTTATTCCTTCTTCTTATTAGTGGATCAGACAAAATAAAAGAAGTGGAGGATGATACTAATAACCAACTGCTAAAACTTGCAATCAAAATATTTGCTTTATCACCTATTTTATGTAGTCATTCCTTTGGGAAACTACATATTCATTGAATAGTTATTAAAGGCTTGGATTATCTCTTGAAATGTGGGTGAGATCATATTTTCAATAGCAGACTAAGCCTGAAGTTCAGCAGAAATTGTAAGTTTTACTTTATTAGTAAATGGTTTCCTGCGGTCATGACATTTAATGATTTAATGAGACCATAATATTAGTTATATCCATGTATACTGTTATGATATGTATGGTCTGATTGTAGACAGTTATGAGGTTTTGGAGTAGTAGTTATGTAATTTTCGCATATGATATGCACTGTATAAAAATAAACAGTTTAGGTGCGTATTTTGAAGTTCTTTGACCAGAGTTATTCTCTGTAGGGGTTGCTAAAACTCTGGGACAGTTTCTGCGGTAATTATCTATTCAATTAGTGTGTTTAATCTCAAACTTTAGTGGTGTTCTATCAGACCCACAGTCAACCTGCGCGTCCATAATAGCACCCACAGTTTTAAGTTCTGACCCTTAACTTATTAAAGTTTAAAAAGATTTAACCTTGACCAATAAGAACATTTCAGAGTTCGGTACAGATTAGAAATCATATGAATCTCAGAAATAAAATAAATAAGGAAGAACGATCTAGGCTAGGAAATTACCCCATTTTGAGCTCCTTCAAATCCATTTGACTAGCTGCAGTTAAAAGAGCATGTCCATATTCAATATTTATTGCTTAATGTGAATTTTACATGAATTACAAGAAAACAGCAGAGTTTAAAAGAAAATGAAAACACAGCGGTTACCAGCACTTTTTTTCTGCTGTCCTTTTTTCTTCTTTTGTAATTCATATCTATATTTACTGTAAAAAAAATAAAATATAGTTATCTATAAATATCTGGATCCAATAATTCTCAGTGGATAAGTATATAAATGAAATGGACAAAGGCAAATATAACTTTTCATCAACCACATGCCTATCTTATTATAGACTGATTTTAATCCTAACTTCCTCTAAATTTTTCATGTGAGTTGAATTGAAAAACAAAATAACCAGATGTCAAAATGAATGAATATACACTACCAGATATAAGCAAAGCATCAATGTCTAGAGACAACTTAATGCAAATGACACTCCCACCTTCACCACTACTCCTCTATGTCACATTCAAACTGGAAATCCAAGTAGATGTAACTACATAAAGCTAGAAGCACATAAACAAAGACCCCAATCTAATTAACCATTACTTAAATATCCAAATGTTGAACATGTTGACCATTTTAACTTATAACCCACTGACCAACAGCATGTTAACATGACAATTTGACAGATACAAATACACGTTAGATTATCACTTACAGCCATCAACCAGATGTATTGTGATTGTAGATTAAATGTGTACCTTAACAATATCCAGGAAAGCAAAAAAAAAGATTAAAGTAAAGATGCAAAATTTCTCTCAGGATATTCAAAGATCATACCTATAATCTATCATTTTAACAACAGGAGGATCTGCATCTGGGGATACTATCACCTGAAAATTAAAGCGAAAATAAGTTACTGCTCTGCACTCACATCAGAAGTATCACACATTCCTATCTCTCTCTTCTGCAAGAATAGTATAGTTCAAATAGAATACAGCACGTGCTTAATTTAAACTTAGGAGGCAACGCCACCACGCAGAAGAACAACACGAAAAAGTTCTACCAAGTCAAGTTCAGCATCTTGAGCCATTTGACGGGCCTGGGACTTGGACACGATTCCGACCTACGAAAACGGGAAATTCACCATCATCAACACCGAATGAAGAAAATACAAAGAGAAAGGGAAACGATAAAGGACGAATTAACGAACCATGTTGTGGTTCCCATCAATGAGCCTCACCGAAGTTGACCTATCTTTGTCAAAGGAGTTTTGAGTAATCCAATCGAACAATGCTGGCAATGACGAGAGTGGAATAGAGAGAGTACCTGAGGGTTGATATGTCGAGGGCTTGTAGTTCGTTGTTGGAGTGGGAGGCGCGTGCGGTAGCGAGGGAGAGGGAAATGGAAGAATTGTGGAATTTGGGGTTATAGAGCTTGAGAGAGTGAAGAAGAGGAAGAGAGGGAGGTGGTGTGTGTTGATGGTAATGGAGTTTGACGGCGAAGTTAGTAGCAGTAGTGAAAGCAAGCCCACCCATGGACATGCTTCTCAGCTCAAGGCAGGGAATAAGTTCTCAAGCTTTCGGATCACACGCGCGGTCTACTTAATTTAATTAATTATTTTTTCTATGTTTTTTAAGATATTGCATGTTAGGAAATTAAAGTTTTTAAATTTATTAAAAATTATAAAATATAAGAAAAAAATTAAAATATGAGTAAAAAAGAGAAAGACATACAATTTTTGTATTTTTAATAAATTTAAATTAATAACTAAATATGTATTTAAAATGCAGGATTAGCGTTTTTGTTTTAAATTTTAAAATTTTCATTCATTGTAATTTTTATTTATATATTTATCATTCTTGTTTTAAATTATTAAAAAATATTATTTTAATATATTAAAAATTTATACTATTTTTTAGTAGAAGTTAATGGAGTGTGTTAGAAATTTAATAATTATGCGAATCAACTTAAATTTAAATGAGTTACGTAATTTTAGGTTTAAACTCGCTTTACAAGTTAAAGGTTAGACTTAAACTTTTATACTCTCCTCTAAATATAAGTTAATAGATAAAATTGAGATTCAGATTCAGTCTAGTTAAGCAGGAATTTGAAGTCCAAGTTCATTTTTGCTTAAGCAAAGATGGACTTGCTTAAACAAAAATACAAAAAATAACAAAATTTTTTATGTAAAATTAGTTTAAGTAAATTTATTTAACTTAAACAAAATTTATAAATTTATTTAAGCAAATTATTTTTAATTAAACAAATTTTGTATATTTAAAGAAATAGAAGTTAAGTATGGAATAAAGAAATATAAGTGGTATAGAGGTAGTGGTCGAAGGTGGAAAGTTGGATATGGAGTAAAGAGAAGATATATATATATATATATATATATATATATATATATATATATATATATATGAGGTAGAGTGAGAGTAGAAAAAAGAAGAAAGGTGTTAGGTATGGGATAAAAGGAAAGGGGATTTAAGAGAATAATAGAAGAGTTAGGAATGAGAGAAATAAGAATGTTGAATATGGAGATTAAAGAGGATTGAATATAGAGATTGAGAAAAGAGTGTTAGGCATGAAAAGAAAAAAAAATTGAGAGAAATGACGCAAAATTTCCTTGAGTAAACAAAATTTAATAAAATTAATTTTACTTAAAAAAAATTGTTATTTTTTGCATTTTCACTTAAACAAAAATGAAACTAAATGTCTAGTTCTCACATTAATTGGATTGGATTTGAATTCATATAATTGCATACAAAGCTTTCCTTCTTCGCTTACAAAAGTAATTTTGCATAAAACTCTTTTACTCACGTGTCATCAATTCCAAAAACAAAGATTTATAAACTTTTAATATAATTCAATTATTTTTTCATTTTCTTTTTAATTCATCCAAACAAATAAAAGATTTATTATTTATTATTTTAATCCATCTAAATAACAAATATTTTTTACTCTATTTTTCACCCTATCTTTTCTAATTTTTTGTTACTGTTTCACCTCTCAATGATGCCTAAGTTGCCTTTGTTTTTTATACACTAGTTTTTTTAGACATTAGACAATTTGTTTCGTTGCTTGTTTCCATTATCATTGTAAAGATAAGCTTGACTGTTTGAATATTCTGTAGCTGTGTGGTGTTGGTGTGAAACACCATTTTTTTTTTCAGTATTAATGTCCTAAGGCTAAGGCAAACACTTTATTTATACTCTTAAGACAAGCTTTTTGGTATCTTATACTCTAAGATGCATTTAATTTTTAACATTTGACTAAGTAAGTAATATAAAAAGAGTAAAATATTAATTAAAAAGTTACCAACTCAATGGATCATCAACAACAAAAAGATCAGATTTGAATTTTATAAATAAAAAAAAACTGAAAAAATCATACTCATCCATACTGGTTAAAATTAATATCACCTCAACATTCTAATCAAAGAGCTTTAGCTACTCATGGAATACAAGAAAGAAAAATCAACAGAAAAGAAAAATAAAGTGTTATCCGTTATGCTCCTTGAAGTCCTCCAAAATCTTCTTTCTAGGGTATCTTGTTACTACTCTCTCTTATCTCTTTTTTATGCCCTGTATGCTCCCCTTTTCTATTAAACAGTGGGATTCAATTTCTTCAAATTATAGTGTTAGGGTAGTATCTTTGGAATCTAAAAGCTCCAACTTCAACATTTTAGAGATTTAAGATCATAGTACCAAAAGTAAAAAGAATATTTCAACCAAAGCTACAACTCTAACTTTTAAAAACTTCAACTCTAATTTCTTAAAGTGATTTTTTCTCACTTTTGGGTCTTCTCCAACTTTTATTTCATCTTATCTTCCTTTTTATGACCTTACTACAAGATAAAATTCTAAGAGTTAACCACAAATTCAAAATAGCTAAAATAACTCACTTCACATAAAAGCATAAACTCAAACAGCTACTTACATAGTTGACTATGTGAGTTTTATTATGAAAATACATTATTTGATTAAGAAAAAATTTTGTTCCAAATGCACGATTATCCATTTTGTTTGTGTATTTTGGACTTCTTTTAACAATATAATGCAAATACATGTATAATGAGTAATTTTCTCCACTAAAACTAGTTAACTAAATGAACATATTGGATTAATATGGTTTCAGATTGTGATTAAGGTTAGACAATTTTTAATAGAACCACAATTTTCAAATTGTTATAATTTTGTTTGGTTTTTGGAAATGACCAACGTAATATGCAAAAGAAAATTGAGGTTCATATATTTAATTGAGCATGAGCAACAAGATTTTAGTGCTTTGGACCATTTAGTGCTATATGAATGCAAATTGGTAAGATTTAAGTTCCTACATGGCGCAAAAGGAATTTTTGGGTCATTGTGCAAACTCCTACATGTTATCTAAAATATATAGAAGTGACCCTTTCTTTGATTATGATATTTCCATCAAAGATAATGGCTTGACCAAGCACTTCTTTTTGTGCTTGCCAAAAAATTACTCCTTTTTATGATTTTTTTATATCAATTTTAATTTTAATATATTGTATTTCTTTTTGGAGTAAGATCCGTTAACATAATGTGCTAATAAAGTTGAAAAAGGATTTTCAAATAAAAAAATATCTTTAGAATGTGGATACAAATAAAAAAATCTCATTTAAGACTCTGGCTTTTTTTTTTCTTGCTTTTTCTTATCATGTTTTCATTTTTTTTATTTTGTATTCTCTCACTTAATAAATAAATAAAACATTTTTAAAGTTTTGGTTCTCTAATTTCTAATAAAGACTTACCCTTTTTAGGTTTTTATTATATATTATTGAGTATACATTTTAAAAAAATAATATTACTAATAATTAAAATATGAATAAAGTACACTTTTTTCCTTGTGAGTTATAAATATTACACTATTTTTTATTATAAAATGTACTATTTATTCTATTTAACCTGTACTATTAAAATATTCTTCAAAATTTTAAAAATTTCTTTAAAATATTTAAAATAATTTTTATTTAATACTCATCTATAATTTCAAATTTACTAATCCATCTTTTATTCATACTCTAATTTTCATCTAAATACCCCAATTTTTTTTATATATATTTTCACGTTTTAGTTTTTTAAATGTGTTAAAATTATAATTTTAATACTTTTTTTTTATCAAAGATGAATTTTTATTATTCATTTTCTTATTTGATGTCAAGATGAGTTTTTAAAACTCATATAACAATGATAAGTGTTTACTTTTTATGAAAAACCCGTTAAGATAGCTGAATTTCTTGAAATTTTGATAAAAAAACTATAAACTTTATTAAAACGAATATTTTGATAAAAAAAAAAAGTTAAACAAACGTTTAATAATACTTTATTAAAAAACTTAAAAGGGGTTATAATATTTTAAAATAGGAAGAATATCAGTTTAACATGTGCTTATTTTATGTGAGAAGAATCTCTAAGTTATAATTATTTTTTACAAAAATAGCTTAAAATTTAAATATTTACGTAATCAATAAAAAACTTGCTAGTATATTTATATTTGTACTTTAAAGGTAATTTTTTTATTTAAATAATATTATTTTTAAACTCAATTTTAAAGTACTCTTTTCAAATACAAATAGTTTTCTTCGGGATATTTAAAAAAAATAAATATTTAATGTAAAAAAATTTATATTTTTGTTAACATCCATTTAAACTCAATTGTAATTCTACCAAAATCCAAGCAAACATATATTGTACTTTAACTAAGTTGCGTTTAAATAATAACTTAATTAAATATTTATTCAATATATTATATAAGAAGTTTTTATTTTAAATGCTTAAATATTTATTCAATATATTATATAAGAAGTTTTTATTTTAAATGCACCCTTAGTCCTAGGAAATTGTTCTTGTGAAATTTGAAATATTGATAAATTAAATTAAAAAGATAAAGATTTTAATTTTTTTTTCTAAAAATTGTGATATGTTACAAAATCTAATAAAAATAACTCTGTTATCACTCGACTTCTAATTTTAATTAAACGAAAGGACAAATAATAATTAAAAATAAGATTAATTTAATAATTTTTATCAACTACGGTGGTTCTACTTAATTTAAACAGAATTATTTTATAAGGAGAATATCCGTAATTTAAACTAAAAATAAATTTTAGAATCAGAATAAAGACGTTAGAAAATATAATTATCATATTAATTATCCTTATTGATAAAGTGTATGATTCTGTTGTGTGTCTCAAAAACGATTTGTTGATATCCTAATAACAGATTAAAAACATATGAAAAATTGATTTAATTATTTATTAATTTTGGGTACATTCTTACTTGGTAATATATATATAGGGATGGAAAATTAGGGAAAAAAAGCAGTGTGGCGAGAAGGGTTTTTCTGATTCCCTTTCTCTCTTCTCTTCTGTTCGGAGCTGCGCGGAAGAGAGAGAAACATCGATCAACGATAACGGAACCGAACATCACACCATCGTCAACAACAACAACAAAGAAGAAGAACAAAAATCTCCTACGGTGAGTGATATGCAGCAAGGTGATAGAACGGTCCTAAGTTTGAGGCCTGGTGGTGGTCGTGGCGGCGGAAGCAGGCTTTTCGCTCACTCCTCTTCTCCCTCTCCCTCCGCCGATCTTCCTATCTCACGCCCCCATGCCTCTCTCTCTCTCAAGGTCCCTTTCTTTTAGATCTCTTCTTTTCTCTATTTGGATCTCGTTCCCAACATCCCTCTCAAAAACCCAACTTTTTTTTTAGTTTTGAATATGAGTGTGTGAATGGATAGGGTTTTTGGAATGCAAGTTTAGTTGAATGTCCTGATTCTTGGTGGGGGCACTAAGTTTTGTGTTTCTGCTGTAAATATGGACGGAAAGCAACGTGTGGGCTTTTAGGTGGGCGTGATTCAGTTTCAGATTGCTCATAAAGGACCCGCATACATTAGGGTTTGAGGGGTTGTGATGATGGATGAATTGTCGATCGTAACTTCCTTATTGTGAAAGGAAATGCTTGTAAACACGGTTTTTTTTATTCGGAGGTTATGTGCCTGTTTGGTTTAAAGTTGAGTAGAATTGATTTTGAGCCGTTGAATGCGATTGAGATACTAGTGTAAATCAACCCGAAGCATATGTTTTGCATGGGGAAGTGCGAGATTGATTTTTCAACTAGTTTCCGTACATGCACTACGTAGTATATTTGTTTCTAATGAATTAATTGAAAAGGGGAACGGATTTTTACTTACAAAATATTGCTTGACGGATTGGTTTGTTATTGTGTTTCATATATGGTTTGTGTGTAATGATTTTTGTTGCCATAGTTTGTGAAGGACTTGACTGGAAAACAATTGGAAGGGATTGTTTCTGCAATGTTGATGTTTAATCTATTAATTTGTTTTTTAGTTAGTGCATGCTACTCTGTCACTTCATTTGTTGTGTTCTTTTGAGGTGTTTATATGCTTGTGTGGTGATTGTTTTAACTGTGAGCCATGTGAAGAGATTTGTCTCTTATTAGTTCTGGTTTTGTAGACGGGAGACTCGTGGTTTGAGGGTCGTGAGCGTCTGCGATATACCAGAGACCAGCTTTTAAAGCTTAGAGAGGTAACTGTTTGCTCTTACTATTTAAATTTTGTTTCAATTGTGTAAATGGATGAAGCAGCAGATTTTATTTAGTTATTCATATTTTCATTGATTTTAAGCTTTATAACAATCACATCTATCTGCTGCTAAAATGTAGTGTAGAATCACCTTTAGCTTTATGTCCATTAAAAGGCAATATATGTTGTTGCCTTATCTTAGCCTCTGGATAAGTTCTTCATATTGTTTCATTCATTTTCTCTACTTTCGCTTGCTTTCTATAGGAGTCTACTTCTGAAATAGCCTAGTTCAGTATTCTTTTATTACCCTTAAACATCTTAAACTGATATTTATGTTTTAAATGTTATCTGACTGTCGAAACTTTTCATTCATAGGCTGTTGAGGTCCCTGATGATATTCTAAAGATTAAACAAGAAATAGAAGCTGAGCTTTTGGGTGAAGATCAAAGTTGGGGCCGTGCTGAAAGCAATGTAACTATCTTTTCCTTCTCCTAATTATAATGCAAATTTTGCTAAGAATCATAATCTCTTTCATTGTATTTGTTAAGTTGATTGGGTTTTGGTGGAAAACATGCCTGTTTGTATCACATGAAGAGAGGACTTGTCAGTAATTAGAATATCATACTGATACATTTATTCTTTTGATTGGTGTAAATAAATACTATCATCTTAATAAATCTATCTGTTGTCATTTTAATAAATGAAACTTTATATAATATTATTTACATTATCTTCTGCAGCTCCCTCATCAACTAAATCGATATTCTGAGCCAGATAACCGTGATTGGCGTGGTCGATCTGGACAACTTCCTGCTAATCCAGATGAGAGGTCTTGGGAAAACCTCAGAGATAACAGGGAGTTTGGTAATAGATTTGACAATCGACAACAGGATGCTGGTCAGTTTAATCACCAAGACCAACTTAATTCCCAGTTTGCGAGGACACAAATCTCTTCTACACAAGGGGTAATAAGCATTTGCAGAAATAAATATTAGTTTTTAGTTAATGTGTTTATGAGTTTAAATTCAATGCTTTAAAAACACTTTACTACAATAAACATTAAAGTGTGCATCAATGCAGTAACTAACACTTTTAAGTGATGGCGTACAATGGATCTGTTATGTAATCTTCAAAATTCTGAACATCCTTTTTTGGTGAAACTTGTTTGATGTGGATTTGTTTACACAAGATTTTTTGCATAATAGAGAAGGCCATCATTACATTTAATGTTCCTTGATGTATCTATTTATTATCATCAAATACGTTTGTTGCATATGTGCTGATGAATTTGACAAAGATTTACACGTCTCTTTTTTAAAGTTTTTATGTATGTCCAACCAGGATTACTATGCATCTTGATCAACTTGGACATGTGATGTCATCACTACATAAACTGCTAACATGCATGATAGGTTTTTATCATAGTAATTAAGAATTTATGGATTTTTTATTTTGTTGCTTATCCTTGTAGTTTCCTGTGCTTTTATCCATGAATCAATGGCCGCTAAATTTACTGTTGATTTTTTTTTTTTATTTTCACTTGTAGTTTGTAGGGGTATACTTTTGTTTGAAGATTGTTTTTGTGGTAATTACATTCATCAAATGTTTTTATTTTATGCTGAACTGCTGTTAAAGAAAGAGAATTAATTTTACTCAGTAATTACATGTTTGCTATATGATATTACTTTGAAGTCTGACCCATTCCTACTTAGACTAGTAGCTGATGGTTACTAAGTTGTGCTGGCCTTGTTAGATTTACTTAATTAACTGATTTAAAATAATTGTCATGCACTCCTACTTAGACAAAAAGTGTATTTGTTATTATGAAGCTTTTGTTTCTTATCTATTTCATTTGGAATGACAAATTTTTTATTTTCTGTAATCTACTGTCTTTTTATTTATTCAGGGAGGACCTACTACACTACTCAAGGCTGAGGTTCCATGGTCAGCGAGAAGGGGAACTCTCTCTGAAAAGGATCGTGTCTTGAAGACTGTGAAAGGGTAATGCTTTTTAGATACTTAATAACAGTTAGATATGTGTGTCCAATTTTGCTGTAATATGTGCAAGGTTTCTGGTTAGCAATGTATGCTTGAATATTAACCTCCACACACGTACTTTAATTGTGAAGTTGTTACGCTGGATTCTGGCAAGTAGGTGTAAAAAAGCTTAAACCATGTAAAGTTTGGGGGATTAAATCATATTGATTATTAAATGTGATTGTGATAAATTAAAAATAAGTCAATCTTTCAAAAGAATCCTTGTACTTTCTTTCCTGTATAGACCAATGAACTACTAAAGAAACTATTTTTAAGCTTACATTACTCTGTCAAGGGACTTTAGAATTGAATGGCTTCTGCTATTTACTATAATTGAAGGACTCCTGCTGTATATATATAGAATTAGATAGTTAACACTTCCCACTACTTATATGCTTTGTCTTATTTGATGCAGGATATTGAATAAGTTGACTCCAGAGAAATTTGATGTCCTGAAGGGTCAGTTAATTGATTCTGGCATTACATCAGCTGACATCTTGAAGGTCACACTTTAATGACTGTTGTCAATGTATTTCTGTACATATCCTTGTTCTAAATTGACTTGCTTTGCTTTGTAAGTGCAGGATGTCATTTCACTTATATTTGATAAGGCTGTTCTAGAACCAACATTTTGCCCCATGTATGCTCAGCTGTGTTCTGATCTTAATGAAAAGCTCCCTCCATTTCCATCTGAAGAACCTGGTGGGAAAGAAATCACTTTTAAGAGAGTACTCTTGAACAATTGTCAGGAGGCTTTTGAAGGTTCAGATAATCTGAGAGAGGAAGTAAAACAGATGACTGCCCCTGAGCAGGAGATGGAGCGTATGGACAAGGAAAGGCTGATCAAGCTTCGTACCCTTGGAAATATCCGTTTAATTGGTGAGCTATTGAAGCAGAAGATGGTTCCTGAAAAGATTGTCCATCACATTGTTCAGGTTCTTTAAGCAATTAAGATGTCTACTGCTACATAAAATGAATGTGTTGGTTTGACAATATTGACTTGCTATTGTGATTGTTAACTTTGAGCAGGAGCTTTTAGGATCCCCAGACAGCAAGTCTTGTCCAGTTGAGGAAAATGTTGAAGCCATATGTCAGTTTTTCAATACTATCGGCAAGCAACTTGATGAAAGTCCTAAATCACGGCGTATTAATGATATGTACTTCAGCCGGTTGAAAGAACTAAGCACAAACCCACAACTTGTACCACGGCTTAGGTTCATGATTCGGGATGTTATAGATTTACGTGCTAATAACTGGGTTCCTAGACGCGAAGAGGTAAATTCTAAAATAAGTTTTTTCTGTGATATGTTATACTATTGTTAAGTGCATTTGTTATTGATCAAGTTTTAATGCCGATTTGTAGGTTAAAGCCAAAACAATCACTGAAATTCATTCAGAGGCAGAGAAAACTCTTGGTTTGCGTCCTGGTGCCACAGCTAGTATTAGAAATACCCGTAGCAGTATTCAAGGAAATGCTGGCTCTGGGGCCTTTCCCATTGCTCGACCTGGCACAGGAGGTTTGATGCCTGGAATGCCAGGGACCAGGAAGATGCCTGGGATGCCTGGAATTGATAATGACAACTGGGAGATACCTAGGACTAGGTCTGTGCCAAGAGGAGACTTGTCAGCTGTTCAAGCTGGTGGACGCAGCAACTCTTTTGTTTCAAAGTCCACAACCCTTAATTCTAAACTGCTACCCCAAGGTAGTGGTGGTATTATAAGTGGAAGAAATAGTGCCCTAGTTCATGGAGGTGGTGCGTTTTCTGCTCGCCCATTGAACTTTGGTTTAGGTGCTGAGGCAGCATCTCAACTCTCATCACCTGCTAAAACAGTTTCTTCTGTATCCTCTGAGAAGCCACTTACTCCAGCTGCAAGATTGAATACTGAAGATCTTCACCGCAGAACTGTCTCTCTTCTGGAAGAATATTTCAGTGTTCGGCTTTTGGAAGAGGCATTACAGTGCGTGGAGGAATTAAAATCTCCTTCTTACCACCCTGAGGTTGTTAAGGAAGCCATTTCCCTTGCACTTGATAAAAGTCCACCATGCGTTGAACCCGTTGCCAATCTTATTGAGTATCTGTTTATTAAGAAGATTCTTACAACTAGAGATATAGGGACTGGCTGTTTGTTATTTGCTTCTCAACTGGATGATATTGGCATAGATTTGCCTAAAGCACCGAGTAATTATGGCGAGATAATTGGGAAACTGATTTTGGCTGGGGGGTTGGATTTTAAGGTGGTGGGAGAGATTCTCAAGAAGTTGGAAGATGACCTGTTCCAAAGGGCAATATTTGACCGTGCACTACAGGTCATTATATCTGCATCTGGACAAGCTGTGTTGGATTCACAATCATCTGATATTGAGGCCTGCCAGAGTTTTCTCAAGTGAATCAAAATGACTCACATGGGAATACAAATTTCTGTAACTGGATGAACCTCTTCTTTTGCAACTTCCAGATTCCCATACCTTCACCCTCACTTTTTGATTAAGAATTTTGTATTAAAGTATGTTATAAAGTGGAGATTCCAGTGTCAGGTATTTTTATCAAGCTGTATAATTTTATTTTATTTTTGATTTTTTTGAGATCGTAGAGTTGTTTATCGAGGGAAAAGAAACCATAAAGCTACGGATTTTATTTTCCGGTTAGCTAATCAGGTGCCAAGATCCTCCAAAGAGTAGCCCATTAGGGGTCCAAATGTTTTTGTATTTCATTACTTTCAATTTTACTTAATTTTGTTGACATAGTAATTGTTTAACTGGTCCGTTCATAAACATCATTATCGTTATATATTCTCATTTTTTGTTTTGATACTCGTTCATGCTGGTGGTTGTTAGATTATGGCTGTTTTCTGGAATTCGTGAATGACCTACCCAAAATTTAACTATTTTCGCCGGGTGAATTATGCTTGGGTTTCTAGTCAGTAGCTTTTACATCATTTGAAGATGCGAATGCCAACCAAAATATAATTGTTCTAATTGAGCATTTTACTCAAAATTACTTCCCTTTTTGATAATTTGAAGTGACCTAAAGCATTGGTCATCCCGGCATATTGAAAATATGTTTTAGCAATGCAACGGTCATTGAATCAGTAAAACATTGTTTCGATTCATTTTGATTGAATCATATGCTTGTGATATTTAAATATACTTTCAATATTATAAAATAAAATAACTTAAATCATAAAATATATAATTTGGTATTATTTTGATACAATATGTTTATTTTGATAAAATAATTTTGATTGAATCATATGCTCGTCGCTTTCAAAAGATTAATTTTGATACACACGGAAAGATTATCGTTCTTCTGGCGTGCTAACTGCTACGTGCCTTTTTACTTATGAAAGGACAAACTCCTACCTAGCACATGTCGAAGGGCAGTGATAAAAGATAAATCTTCCAACCACTCTTTTTTCCACTTCAAATTCAATCATCATCCCACACATCTCACCATATTGCCAATGGAAAATCGTTTGGAAAAAGTTTTTTCTTGCTCTTATCTTCTACATTCCTTTTGGATTATATTTTACTATCAAATTAAACGTGCCATCATGAAACTGTTCTTCCATTTTTAAATAAATTAAATTAATCTTTCAACATTTGTTCACATCATTCACCATTACACTCTTATCTGATCATTAGATATTAATGGATAACATCCAACCTTATGTAAATCATTTGAATTCTTTTTTTCAGGGCAGAAGAATAATTTTTGTCCACATATCTTTTAGGCCTTTATATTAAATTAAATAAATATTTTTAATTAATTACTCAATTATTTAAAGAATTTATTTTATTTCACTTAATTTCTTGTATTCTTTTTTCAAATTTCATCGATCAACATAAAGCATAAAAAGATATTTTTAAATCATTATAAATATTATTTTATAATAATAGTAATAATAAAATATTATTATTGAAAAAATTAACCACACTTTATATAATTTTTTAATTATTATTTTAAAGATTTTTTTAAAGAAATTAATAAGTTTTTAAATTTAAAAATATAACATTTTATGTTATTAATTATTATTGCTGATATTTTTATAAAAAATATTTCTTAATTCCCTAAATATTATCTCAACAAAATTGTATGTATTAAATAAGTATAGGTTGCGTGTAGCCTAATGTACCTCAAGTTATAGACTGCTTCACGTATATTCACTCTTATGATCAATCAGTGTAATGATAATAATCATATTTTTCGAAGACTAGAATCAAACATGAAGCATTTGATCTTCCTTTCATTGTAAAGTGATTTGGACACAGGTGGAATTTTTCTGTAAGATTGCTTTCCGACTTTTAGGTTAGTGTCAACCCAAATAATTACATAGGCCCAGCCACGTTATATAATTAGGCCACTTCTGCTTCTTAGAATGACTTTTTGCCTTTTCCATTACAACATTTTGTCGTATTCCTTAGGCATTTTCACCTTTTCACATAATTTTTTTAGTTTATTTTTCTTTTAAAAAAACACGGCAATCATAAATTATTGACTGTCTAATATTGGTACCCGTTTATTGTGTTAATATAACTTTTTAAAATTATTAAAATAATTTATTTACCAATAAAATTAAGTGAATCATAGATGATTGAAAATTAAACTATATTATTTACACAATAACCTTTGTGTGTTCAAGAAATACATTTTCTCTTCAAAATTCACTTGAATCACCAATATTAAAGGGTGACCCACTTGAGCCCACTACAACAACTACCATTATTTTGTGTCATGATGAAGCTCAAATTTTTGTGGCTGTGTTGGGGAGCAAGCACTAGAAGATAGGCATAGCACAGTGGATCGAGGAATCTTCACTACTACATTGTTGGGGGTTGCTTTAATTGCCTAACACTTAGAACCAAATATGATTCAGAAAAGATGCATGTTGGGAGCCTTTCTAATCATTCCCTTGTTAATGTTGCATTGGTTTCCCACTTCAGGCGATGAGGTAAGAGCCTTGAATGCACAAACAACTGAATATGTAAACAAAGGGCAATTGGCGGACCACAGCCACACCCTCTCTATTCACAACAAAAAGGGTGGAGTTCTCACAGGGGGAAGAAGAGGGATCACAACTCGTGCCCGTGGGAGAAAATCCTCAGCTACACCGAGTCAAATTTCTTTGTCTACCTCTATTTTTCGCATATTCATTTTTCTTGTGTGTTTTCTTGTCTAGTTTCCTCGTATGTTCAAATGTTTGCGCTTATAATTTGGTATTTGGTTCTTCACTACTATGGATTGACTAATTAATGATTGGGCAGAAATTTTATTTTCATTTGTATGTTGATGATTGTTTGGAGTCCTTGATGTGGTCTGAGAATGGATATTTATTATTGTTCTTTTAGTTCATTGGTGAGTGGTCATGGGTTGGGATGGGAACAAACTGCTTTATCTTGTTTAATTTCCTTTTTTTTTTTACATTTTGGTAATGTGTCCATAATTAATTTCTTGTTAACATGGGTTACTATAATCTACCCCACTTTTAAGCTTTGATGCTCAGAACTGCTTGCTCATATGTACCAGAAAAAGCTTGTTAATTTTTATTTCTTATAACTTTTATGTTGGATTCATGTTTATAGATGTTTTAAGCATTTTTTTAAATACATTAAAACTGATGTATTTGCTTTTCCAATCTGATTAATGAGAATCTCTTTCTGACGAACCGCAAACTAGCTATGCATATTGAAAAGCATTAAGGATATTCTCCATTTTTCTTGTGGTACTTTCTCCATTACCTTTAGCTATATGATTTACATTCTTTTTTTTTTTTTTTTGCTGTATCGTCACCTAGATGCATAATCCAACTAATAAAAATTACATGTACGAAAAAAAAATTGATGTTCAAGAGGTTACTTAAATGTTCTATAACGTGAATATGGTATTTTATATTATGGCTCAATTTTAATAAATTGTTTAATAAGTACTTATAAAGTAAAAAAAATTAATAGTAAAATAAATCAAATTTCTTTCATCAGTTAAGATTAACATATGTTTCTCCAAAATTTGAGGAGTAGAAGTTACTTTTAATTTATGACTTGTATATATTTTTCTTCGTCTTTCACTTAATTAATTTTTTTTTCATATATACACAAAAATAAGTAAACCACAAACATTGCCTCAATTATTATACTAAAAATTTAAGAGTGCATTTATTTTTAATTTAATTTAATGTGTATTATATAAACTTATTTAATAAAATAATTTTAAAACTTACACAATTTTAATAAATTTTTATTGAAAGTAAATTTTAGCAATTTAACTGGGACTTAAAAGTTCTTATAATATAGTTAATTATAAAAAAATTTATACCATTTAAATACTAATTGATACTTGAAACGAACCTGTAAATAATCTGACCCGGCGATAGCATCAGTTGTACTCTTAAGTTCTATTGATTTCGATCCTTCAAGTTTTAGTAATATGACTTCAAATAGGCGCCAAAATGTTAGTCATTAATTATAATTACAATTTTTTTTAAGACAAAGAAACTCAAAACTAAACCTGTAAGAGCCCATATCCTAATTAATTAAGGCACATGTTTTAGTAGAACAAGATCCATGGCTGAACACTCGGTCAAAGGAGAAACATAGGAGAAATCAAATGTGTGGTAGGAACAAACTTGTTTTGACAATGCAAGTGTATATATATACACACAGGTAAAGGGATCTTGATGAGAAGGATTGGTTGTGCCTTGAAAGACACACAGACATGACACCCAGAAGGTGCATGCTGTGTGTTTCCCTCGTCACTTTGTTGCTATTGTCCGAATGGATGCCAACCACTTCAGCTGGTGAGAAAACATCAAATGCTCAATCAAATGGTAATGTTGGCCTCCAATTGCACAGATGAATGAGAGGCTATTGGCAGAATACACCCCCTTCCATGACAACGGTAAAAAGCTTGCACTTTCAATAAAAAAGGATAAGAAAAAGAAGAAAAAGAAGAAGAAGGGTGGGAAGGACGACGACGACGACGATGATGATGAAGAAGAAGAATCTTCAGCAAACCAGAGTGGAGTCTCCATATCCCATGTCATCTCAATTTTTTGCACTTCCATTTTACTTGTTTTCCTTCTTGTCTAATCAGTACATGCTGTCCATTCTCCATTTCCAATATTAGTTTGGTGAATGAGTTTTGAGTCTTCTGAAAAAAACTTCAAAATGTAATGCACATGAATTCAAATTTATGAAAAACACAAATTTTTTCATAAATTTGTTGTATATGTTATATTTGAATTTATTTAATTTTTTCTATTTATATATTACAACTATTACACGTTTAGGTCTCTGAAAACTCTGATAATAAGAGCGAAGCACGTAACTTTAATATAATGAAAAGGGGTAGAATGAGATCTCAAATAGTTTAGAAAAAATTATTAAAAGAAATTTCATAATAAATAACATCTTAAATAATTTAATTTTTATCGTATTCAATAATATCCTATAATTCATTAGCTCATCAATTGAAATAACACTTAGTTGTTATTATTATATTACAATTACTACGTGCATTATATTTTGTAACATGCATATATTTAATGAAAACTACTTTATTATAAAATAAAAATATGAGATGAGTGCTACAATATTTTTATTTAAATTTATAGTTCTTAATATAATGGAGTTTAAAGACATCGGTTAAGTAAATAAAATTATTTTTTATTAAGAAAATAAAAGAATGCAAAATTTATTGAACACTTTTTTCAGGAAACTAAATTTTAGATCCATGCAGCATATTTAATTTTAATAATCTAAAATTTATTAAATACAATGCTAATTATTTAGATATTATTTAATATTTATTAAAAATGTTATGATTTATTTGAAAATATTTATTTAGTTCAAGGTTTTAGATAAATCAAGATCATACATGAAAATACAACTGTATCTTGCATTATCGCAAAATTTAGTTACATATTGAATCTCTTAAACATTTATTTGTTATTGAATTTATTTTTTTACGAATATGTTTTTAAAAATATTAAAAATTATTGTTTTATTATATTTTCATATTTGACAGTATTTTATTACTTAATTATCCATTTTGTTGATTTTACACGTTATAAATTTATTTATTTTTATTTTATTTTTTATAATTAATATTGCCATTTATAAATTTAATTAATTATATTATTATTATTTTTATTCAATTACATATTATTTCGTTACTTAATATATCATTGTATTTACTTTTATAAAATACGAAAAAAGAATTTAAGTAAAAAATTAAAACCTCAAATAAGTTCCTGAAAGATAGAGAATCAATTAATTTAGTTTTTAAAAGAAAAAAAATTATTAAAATTAGTGTCAAAATTCGTGTGTGGTGATTTACTAATCATTTAACAATATGGGTTTGAGTACCATTCTGAAACAGAAACATTTGTATCGTAGTAGTATTTTAACCCAAAGAATTTTTAAAAATCAGTTATTCATCACATGTATTTACCTTTTAATTTAGTATTATTTAAATTTAAATTTTTATACTTTTGTATTTTTAATTTTTTAATATAATAAAATATTTATCATTAATAATTATAAAATTTAATATTTTAAAATTTAAAAAAGTCATAGAATGCATTTTTAATTATTTACTTAAAAATTTAATTTAATCTAATGATACCGTGTAATTTACAGAAAAAATACTAGTTAACAAAAAATATTTTTTTATATTAAATAAATTATGAAAAATTCAAAATTTAAATTAATATTAAATTAAAAAAATAAATACATAATGCAGAAAAACTAACTTAGCATTGGCTATAAGAGATATAGGTATCTAACTAGCATGAGGTGAAAATTAAAAGAAGTTGTTATTAAATAATTACTAAGGTGGATATGAATAATTTTTGAAAACGTGATTCGGAGAAATTAAGAACTGAGAATCTAGCGAAACAAATTTACTAATGTGAAATATTTTTTGATGAATCAAACTAAAGAATTTCGGAGATCAAACATGCCAACGCATGAGAACGATGAGCATTATACATAGTTACACCGAAGGAACCTTTGTGTTCTTTCACCATAAGAACTAAGCCACGATGCCATGTTCTTGGATTTGCTAGCCGAGTTTACGCTGTGTTCAATACCTTTTGGCCTTCTCCAAGTTATTGATACGTTTCTTCAGATTCATGCTGTTTTTCTTTACGTCTAAAGCTACTAAATGGACAATACAAAACCAGATATTTTTGTCTACATCGAGCAAATTCTTCATGTGTGATAGTTTTAGAAGTGATGGGACATATTCTATCACCCTTTTCCACTGCTCTCGTCGTTCTTAATTCAGTTTCTTTAACTGATCTTTCTTGTTTCTAAAATTTGGTGTTTGTTGTTTTAAGCTTGCGTTCATGTTATATGTAAACCTGTAGCTTATCAAGTGATCAAACTAATTTTATTATCATTATCTACAAGAAAATATATAGATAAGAGTTTAGGAGGAAACAGAAAGAGATGAATTAATGGTACTTGGTCTTGGAAAATAACAAATTCAGTTTATTTTAAAAATTAAAATGAAAATATAAAAAACAACAGACAAACAAAAGATAAAAATAAAAACTGTATAAAAGTTTATGATAAGATAATGTGAAGTAACAATATCATTCAATATTACACTTTTCTTATATTATAAATGGTGGGAGGAGATATATTTATAAACTTTTACTTTTATATTAATCTTTGGGAAGAAACTAAAAATTAGTAATACGTAGGAAAGAAAATGGTTAACCCAATTATGATGAAATTTGGAGAGCTACTTTGTAGTTACGTTGATTATGTTAATTTATTGATTTATTTTTAAGATAAATTAAGCGTTTAATTTTTTTTATTTTGATTCTCTTTATTTAACTTTGAGTTACAAACAGTTGATTGCAAGGACAAAAGAATAGATAACCTTAAATAGCCCTATTTTTCAGCTTAACCAGATCTAATCCCTTAGGGTTTCAACGTTTTCTCCATCAAGCATAGCTCCATGCAGTAGACATGAACCTTTCTTGTTTGGAAGTGAATTTTTTTTATAAAAAACGGAAGATAAAGTGTTTATTCTTATTAATATTTTTAGTTTAATAATTTTTAAAATAAAAATTTAGATTAATATATTGACAACAAATTGTCACAATCTTTTGTTTTTTGTTTTATATAAATATTATATGATATTAGGTATACTTGCTCCTCAAGTTTTCTCAATTTGTTAACTTGTGATACATTTGTAACAATAGTTAAACTTTTAGTATTCAATTCATACAATGTTTCCAACAGATTTGTGCTCATTTGATATAAAGTTGACTAGAATTAATTTAGATAAAAATAATTTTCAATCATTAAATATGACTACATTAATCTGAATCACATATCTTCATTAAAATGCGTATTTTTTTAATTTTTTTTTTTATAAAATTTGATTTTCTAACTCAAACCAAAAAGCCCTTGTATGGAAATAGTTTTAAGAGAGAGGAGAATTAGGTTTTGGAAATTCTTAATATTGGTAAAATAAATTTTGTTCAAGTGGATAACCTGATTCAATAAAAATTATCATGTGCTGGAATCACAATTTGGAAATCTCGGATTTATTTAAAATTATATCGATCTCACTACAGTATATCACCTTTTTTTTTTTTAATTTCACATAATCAATCTTTCTATTACACATGACACTTTCTCTTATTAAAATGATTTTTCTTTTTTATCTAAATCTTTGGTAAATCTGTTCTAAATTTTAAAGATTAAAATGTAGTGTATTTTGAAGGAATAAAAACTAAAATGTAGTATATTTTGAAGGACAACAGACTATTTATCCTTGAAAAAAAAAAAAACTAGCCTTGAAAATACTCTTGTATGTTCCGATGCCAATGCGCTGGTGTTCTTCTGCTCCAGCCATGGTTGGTGCTTGGTTTTAAGACAATTCAAATTTCACCACTGGTCTGGATTATGATGTAGAATGATTCATAGGTGGGTGGCACAAAAATATGTGGTTATACATGATTTACCTTTTGTTGTTGAGTTTTGCTTTTAAGTAATTTACAGTACTGGTTTGAATGCTGACAAGTGCATTCTGTTAGTGTTAGGAGATGATGGTTTAGTGTTGTACATCACTTGCATGGCAAGTCACTCAAACGCGACCTTAACATCCACAAAGTGCATGTTTGATTTCAGGTTAAAATGCATTGAATTTGCGTTTATTAGTTTTCTAACTTGGTTTAAAACGCCCACAATGAAGTTAATAATTTCAAATTTTCAATATAGCTCAAAGCTAAATGAAAATATAAATAATGAAACTACAAAAATAATTTTTTAATTTATCAAAAAAGATTTCGGTTACATTTCTCATACATCCAAATGGGTGATAAGGAAAATTTTCAAAATCCAGCAATGGAAATTCGTGCTGGCTTCAACAATCAAACGTCTTCAACGGAAGAAGTGTTAGAACCATATGTTCAAAATAGCCGATCAGGATACTGTGGTCTCAAAGCAATATCTTCATAAGTATATTACTGTCATTACAAACTCTTTAATCTTGATTTTCTCCTTGCCTAAGCGAATGTTGGCATATCAAATATTGGTCCCAAAAATACGGTCATAGAGAGAGAGAGAGAGAGAGAGAGAGAGAGAGAGAGAAACTCCAAGAGCACAGGACTAGGGATTTAACAACTTGCTCTACTTATTGCAATGTAGAAGAGAAATTGAAACAAGTCCTTAGTGAACACCATTACCCGTGATAAATGCCCAATCTCATCTATATATATATTGAACATATAATGCTATATTTTATCTTTACAGAAAGGAAAATAAAACTAGAATGGTTTAGCAGATATAAAAAATCTGCTACATTTTATCAAGGGATAAACATTCCAAAAGAGCAGGAATTTTGATCTACTGTACTTGAGTTCAAACCCTCAATGCCACCTGATCTTGCCATGAGATCTTCCTCTTCACTGTCCTATTTGCTCCATTCCCAACGTTTCTACAAACTGGCAATTTGATGTCATTGTGTTGCTCTTCATTTACACCTCTTTGTGCAACTCTCTTTGGTTCTTCAACTCTCATGGGCTCAACATCACCCAGCAACTCCTCCTCTTCTCTCTGCATATAAGGCACCATGTTAGACAGAAACCATAAGCCTACTAGAAATATGAACAAGGATTACTCGTTACATAAACATAGAAGGTGTAATTGTTTACCGAAATCTGATTCAAGTCAAAAAATGGGATTATACTCTTCTTCGTGGCTTCTTTCCCACTATGAATCTTGTCATTTTGATTCAAGTCAAGGGTTGGAGCAGAATTAAGAAAAGAAGGCTCTTTTTGTCTAAGACTCCTAGCATTTTGGTTTAAATCAAACATGTGATTTATTTTTCGCAATGTGGTCTCAACCCCATTGGAAATCCTTTCATTTGAATTCAAATGAGAAGCAACACGAGGCTGCAAAGCAGATTCCTTTCTGTTGTATTTCCTGCTCTTTGGGATAATGGTATCTTGGACTTTAAGCTTTTGTGACCGTGAAATATCTTGCTTTGGTTGAGGCTTTGGAGAAGGATTTTGTATCAAGTATCGGTAACGTTGCCTTAAAAATCTGCAGTTGCAAAAAAGATACATAAGAAAATAGCACGCCATGAGAAACCAAAAAATCAAACGAATGTATGATACTTTACCGAACTTCTGCTAACAATATCAACTCTTTCTGCTTTGCAGCCTGCAATTTCATTCTCATGGCATTTGTTTCCTGAACATAATGAAAACAATAATTACAAATTTTCCAAACGATACAAAAAGTTTGTAAAAAATGTAAAACTTTTACAACAACCGAAACAAGAATGGCAAAAGGATTTATTTAAGAAAACTTAGTTGCTCAACAAAGTTAGTCCACAAAATGGAGACTCAACGATCAATCATCCATCTAATTCTTAAGATCTGTTTATAAGAAGCTCAAAAGCCATCGAAAAGATATATCATATCAAACATAGAAATAACATAGTTTCAAGACCAAAAAGACTTATTTATTAAAACATCAGCACACTGTCATGTGATTACAGTTTCACGCTCATTATAGCATCCAAAGGAAAGGGTTTTGGAGTCCAAAAATCATTCTATTCGTAGGGAGAGATAATCTAAACAAAGAAATTCTACAATTTAAAAAGAGAGGGAGAGCTAGGATATACTCATAAGAACAAAACAACAAACCACGTGATTCGAACATAAACATAGGTTTTATTCAAACAATCAATCAAAGCACAACGTAAGTTCCTTGTATTATCTTCCCCAACGACAAACGAGCACAAAGCTAAATCAACCATCAACAACCACAAAAAAAAAAAGTTGAGAAAAAAACTAGATCCATCATAAAATTTTCAAACTTTATTAAAAGCTGGGAAAAGGGTTACCTCCTGCAGGTCTTCGTAGTCCTGCAATAGACTCTGATGCCTCAACCGGGTCCTCTGATCCTCATACATAGCATAAGGTGGAGACTCAACAGAGACAGCCCCTTTCATCTTCTTCATCAGATCAGCAAATAGCTAAAGGTAGGAGCAGATGGAGAAGGTGGATATTGGGTAAGGTGACACAACAAGAAGGAATGACTAAGATAAAGAGAAGAAGAAGAGAAAGGGAGAGAGAAAGAGAGAGAGAAAGAGAGAGAGGGAGAGATGAGGGAAGAGGTAAGAAGGTTCTTCTGGCTTTCCTGTTTTCTCTGTGAAAACTATGACCAAGACAAAGAAACCCCAAAAAGAAGTCCACATAACTCGGTGAAAAATATTGCTCTTTTGAGAGAAGATGGGATTTTTTGGGGTCTTGCAGAAGGGCAATTCAGGGAACATGTTTTTTTATGATAGAGAAAGAGAAAGGCGTTGTAATTGTATTGTAAGGTGGGTATAGTTGGAGGACCTTTGAAGCCATCTAGCTAGCTAACTTGCTTTTCTTTTTTCTTTTGTGTTTCCCATTCTTTCTTTCTTTTTTTTGTTTGTTTTTCTTCCACATAAATTTTGATCCAGATGGCCCGTTGGTTTTTGATGTGAGGATGCGTGGAATTTCCATGTTTCTTCATTCATTGTTTTTTGGTGTATGCCTCTGAGTAGAGAGAGAAAGTGGGAATGGGTCAGAGAGAGAGAAAGGATTTGAAGATGATGCTGTTTTTCTCTGCTATGCTGTTGCGGTAGTTGTTGTTCCCACCTTAATTTTAGGCCTACAAAAAACGACACAGACAACTTCCAATTCATTTCACATAATGAGTTATGACTATTATATGCAGGGTCAATTGGTGTGCATTTACATGCATACCCTTTCTGCTCAGTTTTCTTTTATGCTAAGGAAGATGCTGCTTTTATTTCACCCTTTGTCCTGAGTGTAGCAATCTTAATGTGGCTTTTTGATGATGAAAATTGAAAGATACCAAATTGGGTTCTGGCCAGAGAGAAACCCATTTGCCTATTGCCCCATTATTTTGTGTGCATGATCCGGAAAAGAAGGGTATACATTACACAGTTCTCTATTATTTGAAGGGTGGATTTGGGATTTTATAGTCAACACCCAAGTGATGAATCACTATCTCTATATTTAATGCTTCCTCCATCTTCTTGAATTTGTGCGTGACACCCTGCCTAATAGCCACTACTACTATTGGTTGATTGAAAGCTCCAATGCCCTTCATTTCTTGTTCTAGATGGTGTCCTAGAGTCAGATTTTGGAGAAATTCCTGGATCAACACGTCCTCTTAGAAAATCCCCTTATGCCTGCTACCCTTTAATATGGCCCATATTAATAAAAAATGCAAATTTATATATAGTATATTTTAATTAAAATTTAATAAAACTAATCCAAATATACACTACGATTCAATGCTGATTTCCAACAAAATCATGGTTTTGCCATCTGTTTTTAACAATGTAGTAGGGGGAATCTTGGGCACTGCCTCCCACATCATGCGATTAGTACGAGTGGTACAAAACGTGATCCGGCCACATACCCAGAACCATGTTAAGAAACAAGAAAACAGAGAAATTGCATGAGAGTCATCTAAGTGAAGATTCTGATTTGTGAACATAAAACGACAGTGAAGGTAGAAGATAGGAATCTCGTTGGTGCATCACTCCATCTGTTATTTTGCCGTGTGACTGTTTCTCTTTCTCTCTCTTTATTCTCACTCCTCCCACTTTGTTTGGCAGTCTAGTATTGGATCGTAAAAGGTCTTACATTTATTAGGTATCTACAAAAATATACCTAAAACAAATACACATTTAATAGGTTTAAAATCTAATATGGATAAAAGTTTCTAAACTTAATTTAACTATTAAATTATTATCTTCACAGTCTTGTTTCTTAAATTTTATAAATTTACATATTTATAAATATATTATTAAAAATTAATATTTATTATATTTTAAAATACATTATCTATTAAAATAAAATAATATAATGAAATATTTATTAATTTTATTTTGTTGTGAATTTTTTTATAAAGTTAATTTATTTAATAAAAATCTTCAATCAATAATTAGATTAAGTAATCTTATATTTTATAAAACAAATATTAAGTAACACAAATATTTAAATTTGACACCTAATATTAATATAACTATTTTTAAAAATATTTAAAGCATACCAAACATAATTTCAAAATTCTCAAAAATTTTGATTCTCAAGAAATATATTTCTCAAGAAATAAAAAAGATTTGCACACTAAGCAGTCCTAAAGAATTTTACATTATTGTGTAAAGTTAAAATATAATAATAAATTTTGAAATTTTTTAATAAAATTATACAAATTAAAATGATTGTTTTAAATTAAAATAGAAAGATAGATCATGGATGATAAATATAATACATATATTTAAAATTTATTAAAAAAATTAAGCCCTCAAATGAAATACCAAAGTAAAAAATATTTAACTTTTTAAATTTTTTTATCTAGATTACACGTATTATTTTCTGTCATTTAGTCTAATCTTTACTTATGATGGTTAAACTTTTATGATTAATATTAAATATAATTTTTTTCAAATAATCAATAGAAGATATTTGATTAATTAGCCTTAATATAATTTTAACTTTTTATCCTTCTCCTTAATTTTATACCCAAACAAAAAGGCTAGGGTGGAGTGACAGTGCAATGCGACTCTTCCCTTGGGATAGATTGAACCAAAAAATATCATCTTTATCCAGTCGCAACGCATAACAGTATCACTCTCATCCTTCTTCATTTCCTTCAAAACCCACCAAAACCAAAACTTGAATTTGTTCTTATCCTCTTCTCGTGGAAGCCAATGACATCCACACCCTCTCTAACTGGTCCTTTGTCAAACGCTGTCGGATTCAGTGACTGGAAAAAACATACCCCTTCTCTCTGTAAGTCTCTCTCCCTCCGTTCATTTTCATTTGGGTGCTCACAAACTCCATCAAGTTCGCCACTTTTTGCCTTCTCTCTCAATGTTCCTTCATTTTTACTTGCTTCGTTTTTGGGTTTAGATTAGTTTGAGGAATGAAATTATTCTCAACATATTTAGATAAATCAGGAGGTTTATTTTATCGTGAATAATTGAGAGCTTTGTAAATAAAAATTTGTCCTTCATGTTAATTGTATGCTTACTTTTATAATTTAGCTATGAATTTTAACATTGTAAGGAGCAAGATTGAGTTGAATCCACATATGCTTTTGATTCACAATATTGAATTGTTGTCCGAAAGCATCTCATCTTTGTTTTTGTTAAATAGGTAAACTAAACTTCAGTTCAAATATAGTTGACACGAAGATATTATCTCAGTGTGGTTGTCGAAAAGTTGGACATGGCCAAAGATATTTCCAATTATATGCCCTGTTTGGAGGGAAAAATGACAATAATGAGAAGAGTGATGATGCTCCTTCTAAGGTTAGCTAAGTTAGTTTTTCATGCAGTTTATGCTGTGTATACCCACAGGATCCCATATTTTCTTTTGTATTATTTTTCTAATTGGATTACTTATGTCATTCACATGCAAGGTAATGGTTAACGAACAAAGTATTGCTCCTTCACATATTTATTTGACCAAAGCATCATAATCATAAGGCGCATCACCTCATTTTGATGATCTGTCCTGGTGTTGGACACGTCCTATACATACATTTGTACTGCTCTCTAACATCTAACAAGTAAAATTTGAAAAAAAAAAAAAAAAACTGTTTTTTGTTGTACTTGTAAATGACTAGTTCTACCGTAAGTTTGTGAAGGATTTTTTTTTGGGTAATGCCAATAGAAATGATGCTGCATGTTTAGTGTCTGTGCTTTGTAGATTACAAGTTTCATTTTGATTCTGTGTTTGATCATATCTAGTTAGTTTAAACTTGTAGTTGGTAATATATATTTCTTATTTTTGTCGAGAGAGCAATGAATCATTGAAATGAGAATTATCAGACAAGCAGAGCATTCATGACATGACAGCTCACCAACAAAAAATAATTGAGTAAATTGGATTAGACTGATGGTCTATGGCTATATGCAAATCACTGTTAATGAATGCCTATGAGGAAGCTAAGAGAGATTAGATAAATAACTTGCAGCCACAGTTTCAAGTTGGATAGTCCCTTTTCCATCAGGATTGTCATGGCAACTCACAGATCTATTTAGCAATCAGCCATAAGGTGAACCATTGCTTAGATTCCCTGGACCTACCCTATTTTGAATATTTACTAATTATGCATTTCAACTACATTAGCAGTATATATTAACCTGACTTCATTTATACTATGCTATTATCCAAATAAACATATTAGCATACAATTTCAGTTTATTTTGCTTTCATATTTGGGGCATTCATCAGGGTATTCAATTGTGGCAGTTCTTGCCACTGTAGCAGTGTTGGGTAACATTGGCATCATGTCTCAAATTTATATAGCAACTGTCTTTGGCTGAATATGGTGAGCTGTCCTAACTGCTATTGTGACCACGAGCCATTCTTGTGTGTCAACACAAAAGAATCAATTCATCCTAATTGACTTGTGTGGGCGCACAGCCTAGTCTTGTGCCCACACAACTTGGTCATTTTGGTGGGTTTTGGTTTTTAACCAAGCTCAATGGTATCGCATGATCCATGTAGTCAATTTTGACTAGTAAGATAAGACTTGGTTGTTGTTGTTGTTGTCAATTGTTTGGATTTACTTGTGTCATGTTCACAATATAACAATGCTTTCTATTGTTGGTAGGTTGTGTGTATTTTATTGACTTAGCATGATATTAATAATCGGCAAATTTCATTTTATTGTGGAATCATTTTAGGCAGGAATTCTCGGAAACATGCAAAATCTTTATGAGACTGTGAAGAAGGCTCAAATGGTTGTCCAAGTTGAAGCAGTACGGGTGCAGAAAGAACTTGCATCGTATGGCTCTTGTATTAACAAAAATCAGCTTTTACTTCTGTTTTCCTTATTTATGTGATTTCTGAATGAGTTGTTTGTTCTGTTATGCAGAGCAGAGTTTGATGGTTATTGTGAGGGTGAGTTAGTAAAGGTATGAGTTTGATGTTTAGTATCTCCTTTGCTTTATATAGCTTTATTCATCATGATTGTTTAATTACATTACCAATATCTATATGTTAATTTGTACATTTGATTTCCTTTGTTAACTTACTTTCAATGAAGTATAACTTTTAGGTAACGTTGTCTGGGAACCAGCAACCTGTAAGAACAGAAATTACGGAGGCAGCTATGGAATTGGGACCTGAAGTGAGTAAACAATTCAGTGACCTTGTGATTATATATACTATTTTCTGTCAGATTATATATCAATAGCACAATCATTTGTTGGAACTGGAGTCTGGATTGGACATCTAAAATGCTAAATACTCAAAGATACCAAATAAGAATTCTCGATTGTTTTTATGCTCTTCCGTTGGAGAATAATGGGATAAACACCATGTTAAGATTCCTTCATTTTTATTATAATTTTCTTGCATGCAAAGAATGATGTTTTAGTTTGAAACTGCTTACTAAAATCATTCCTTCTTCCCCTTATCCTAAACACATGGGTCAAGGGCCCATGAGAATGATAGATCTAGTTTTATGTATAGGAGCAGATAGCATATCTATGGTCATGAATGCCAATAATAAGCTATCATTTATTATATCTGTGGGTTGCAGAAACTTTCACTTTTAATCACTGAGGCCTACAAGGAGGCACACCAGAAGAGTGTCCTGGTAAAAATCTCTATTTTAATGAGGAAGAACAAAAGTTCATTTGCATTGAAGTTATTGAAAGGGTAAAACCATACTATTGCTTATGTTTGTAGGCCATGAAGGAAAGGATGAATGACCTTGCACAGAGCTTAGGAATGCCGCCGGGACTTAGTGACGGACTGAAGTGATGAATGCTTTTATGCTAGACTTATGACACTGGCCTCAATTTTGCTCAAACATGCAGATAGGCTTATTTCTTCATTTACTATGAATGAATTTGGAATCTTTGGTTATTCAGAAATGTAAGCTTGGAGTTATTTGAAATGCTGGTGAACTTTCTTTTCCTTCATTCTATTGTTGCCCTACTTTTGTTTGAATGGTGAAAATTCAGTTCTACGCCTCAAGTTATCAGTCTTTGACAAGAGAGAAAAATCCGGGCCATCATAATGTTGTTGAATCACTAGCTGAAACTAAAGAAAACAGAAACCTTTGGCGAGGTATTAGAATCCAGTACATGGTAGAACCATGCAAAATCTCATTATATAGACTTTTGGCCTTGATGTGCGGAATTAGAATCTAATATATTGTTAAGACTACAATAGAGGTTTTGTGGATAAAGATGATTTCACACATTTGCAAGGAAATGAAAAATTTCTTATGAGTTTTGCAACACCGGTAATAAGAACGTTTTGTAGATTATACAGCGATGAAATTTTAGACTAACAATGTTTGTTAGTTACACTTGGCTGATCCACTATTGAGCAATACAACACATTGTTTACAATTCAATAATCATACACTAACATGAATAAATAATAGCTGTTTTCTAGCCAGGCTGTTGCCTCCACCCACCAATTCCGCGGGAATTATGAACACCAATTAAATTGAATTACACAAAAGATAATATGGTGAAATGTTGAAATAAAGCAGGTAACATGTCAAGATTTTGGTAGGTGTTTCCCTGCCAAAAAGGACCTGAAAAGTATGTAAGCTCGCTCTGGCTGAAGCAATGGTACCTCATGCCCAGCTCCTCTTACTGTTGTAAAAGTTAGTCCATCATACACCTCTGTCCATCCACCTACCTATATAAACCCAAAAGAAAAAAATCTTGTGATGATATCAACAGGGCTTTGGAAATGCCTTTTTAATATGGGTTTTAGATAGTGGTTCCTTTTAACACCATCCTTCAAATATTAAATTTTGGAAGTGGGTTTTGGAATTTGATTTTTGAAAGGGACTAATGGCATGTTTGGTCCCGCATCTGGAAGTGATGGACTTGATTTTTTAGAAGTAATAAATCAAGGTAGCTTATGGATTTGAAATATGTGTGCATGCTATTTTAACTGGTATCCAAACATGTACTGATACATGTTGGATTTTTGTTTTAACAAAAAAATGACGGTGTGGCTGAAAAACAAGGGTTGGTGCAAAAAGAAAAAACATGATATTAGATTTGGGAAGTACCTGGCCACCCGTGTACCATGGATACCAACGAGTTTTGATGGTGAGGTTGAGATGGCTAAGAGAAAACCTTGTGGCAGTTACTGGAACCACTGAATCCGTGTCTCCACTGCGTTGTAAAAAAGGCAATGATTATGGTATTTTTTTTATATTAAGATCTGGTTGTCTCCATAATTATCCAAGCAAATTTCATATAGGGTTTTGGATCATAGGTTCTTAACATGCATGGCTGCATGTTCATTGATTCTTAATGGGTAATATTATTTATAATATATTCTCATTTGATTCCAGTCAATTTTTTTAAACCCATTTTTGATATATGATTGTTTCTATTTATCGGTCTATTTTGGAGTTTAAAATAATATTAATTATTTTCTTTTTAATTATTCCCTTATTTCTACCTACTTAAATGTTTTATACACTTATCATAAATGGAAGAAATAATAGTAAGGGTCGTATTAAAATTCTGAAAAATAATTTTAATGTAAACTTGGACATTAATTTAATGGAAAATTAGTATTTTGGGTCTCTAATTTTATATTTTATTTCAGCTTGGTCTTCTGATTTTTTTTCTTTTATTTTGTTTTATTTTAGTCTGCTACTTTAAAACGTCATCAAATAAGCCTTATTTTATTAACTATATATTACTTTGTTAACTACTATTTTTTTTTTCTTAGTTACTATTGTTAACTACGAAACTCTGTGTGTTCCAGTTTACACCAAAAAGAAAACGTTTTCCAATTTTATGTGGAATTCTAGAAATTAAGCTATACCTGAAAACCCAGATTCTCAAACCAGCTGCAATTAACTCTTTGTAAATGGGCAACATAGAAAACTCAGAATCCTTCCAATTTTTATTGAGCGCGTCACTGTTCAACCAAAGCAAAGCACATAGGTTAAACGTTTTCCCATTTAAGAAATCTGGATGAATTGAACCATGCCTTTATTTTAAAGCATAGTCTATTTTTTTTGTATACTTATCACGGTAGAGTAATATATCAAATCAGTCTCTAAAATTACGAGTACCAATCAAATTAGTTTTAAAATTACAAAAGTGTGATTTTAGTTCTTGAGATTATTAAGTAACTGTCATTTTAATCTTAAAATTTATAAAACAACATTTATTGTTGTTCTCAAAATCATAATTACAAGGATTAAAATGAACTAAATTTATAATTTAAAAAATTTAAATGACATATTTGTATTTTAAGAATTAATTAAATTAATATTTATAATTTTAGAGACCAACGTGATATTTTACTTGAATACAGTAAAAAGGCAAACCTGCAAGCAGTCCATTTGTAAGGAATGTTCGTAACATTTGCATGCATTGCTTTCTGCACATCAAGACGATTGTAGTATTTCTCTGCATAATCTTCAGTACACGGATCATACCCAGAAATCCTATGTAAAATTGTACTCTTGAACCTAACATGCCTCAAAGTATCGTTGTGTGATGTTGTGCACGAAGGGGTATAGATACTGTACTGATCAATGTTTCCAAATTCATTATTAACCGCATAATTCACTGCATCATCACATTTTTTAGTTGTTTTCTTTTCAGAAAAATTGCAATATTTGAGGATAGATTTGTATGATTGATCAGATATCATAGAGTGGCTCCACCAATATGTGACAGTTCCAACCCCATCATAGTGGTCATCAGTCACAGCATTCCCCACCTATAGTTTTCAAGTTAAATGTTACATATTTGAAATTAGAGAGAAAAATACATATATAAAAAATAGTGGAGTCATAAGAATGGACTTACAATGAACCCTTTAAGATTAAGGATGTGAGGATTATTTTTATTATAATCATGGACTTTCTTAGCCAACTGGGGGACATAATGCCCTAAATAGAAGAAAATAGAATGGGATGTTAGCTGATATATAATTTTACAATTAATTAGAAATTTATAATATATAATTTATAGTTGATAAGTTAACTGAAACTCTATAACGGTAGTTAATTAAATAAAAAATGTTAAGTAATAGTAATTAAAATATATTAAATGACTAAAAATGATATACAGTTATATTAATATAATATTTATAATTAAATAAAAAAGAGAAATTTAGAGTTTGTAAGCCTGTGTAACTTGTTTAAAACGATAAAAGTAAAAATGAGATCACTTATCGGTGACTATAAGTGAATATTACTTCAACAATTTTTTTCAAAAGTAATTTATAAAAGTTATAACTCTTTTCTATTTAGTAAGTTATTTAATAGTTTAAAACTCTTAAATAAGTTATAAACTTATTTTATTAATCTAAGACTATGTTTGGTAGCACGAATTTATAACTTATATTTTAGAAAATAAGATTGTACAATTATTTAGTAACTTCAAAATAGAAATAACTTATAACTTTTAAAAACTTTTGAAAAACTTATTAAAATAATATTTAATTTATACCTTATATTTATCAATAATTTTATCTTATTTATACTCTTATTCTTTTAAACTACATAAATATAAATTCTAAATATTTTTATCCTCATTTTATATTTAAGTTTATACTAATATAATATTATATTATGTTGAATCATTTAATATATTTTAACTAATTTTATTAAACAGTTGCATTCAATTAACTACTTGTAAATTTATAAATTATGAAATTTAACCTAATTTTACCAAACAGTTTGCAAGAAAGTATGCAGTGTTGTTAGTGGGTGATATGACATACCTGCATAGCTCTCCCCTGCCATGTAAAACTCTCTATATTTATACTGTGGAAATCTCTCCATCCATCTTATTAGAAAAATAAGAGCATCCTGAGCTGTTTCAACAAAATTGGAAATTTCATATTAATTACAAATATAGTAATGAAATTGGATGGGACTACTCAACAAACTTCAACAGCGCATCAAATTCTACCTGTCCTTTTGTCTCCAGAAGTGTTCAGATCAGAACTTGTATTTGTGTATGAGAAACCAACACCAGCAGGCGATTCAACAAATAAGATATTTGCTTCTGAAGACCATTTCAAATAATAATAATCAAACTCTCTTCAGATATTCTTTTTCTATAAGAAGTGTTGGGCTATTGTGAAAAAATAGAAAATTTGAAACTCCCTTTTGTTTTGATTGATAACCTCTATTCCATGCATATTTGTTGAGGTATAGAGAAGAGCCACTTTTGTTTATACGGAATGGTCCAATTTCCTCTGATGCCCCGTATGCCACAGATGAACAACCAGGCCCTACACCACACACCAAACACTAACTATTTATTTATGTACATTTGTTTTCTTGTGGTGATCATGAAGATTAATTTAGGTTTTAGGACATTAAATTATTGACACATCATACATAAATAAATATTTGTTATAATTAATTATCATTAACAACTATCAATAATAATGTATTAGAACTTTTTAATCTAACAATGATATCAAACCCATGCAGAAGTCTGCGAAAACAAATTTTTAAGAGTGCTGATACTAAATATGGATCAGACCGTTAGTATACTGTTAATGGTTGAGATATTTTAAACTAATAGTATTCGACAGATTTGAGAAGTTGATATAATGAATGTGAATGCGGCAGTGAACACCCTGCAACAATGTTTTCTTAAATTTCGCCTAACGTTGCCAAACATTTCGGTTGGTCCTTGTTGGAGGCTCTAATGCATGAGAGATTTTTATGCTATCCAGAATTATAAGATTCTTTTCTTACTTAAATCACATATCTTTTACTTGAGAAAATTCTGTTTTTTCAAATAGTTTTTCTCTTTTAACTTTTAAAATTTTGATATATAGTGCAGTATAAGAGACACAAAGTGCAAAATTTTTCCTCCTACAGAGATGTGATGGAGACGTGAAGCATTGACATGAATGAAAACCACTATCTCCTTTCTGGGATCTGAATACGCGTGCTTGGATTGAACAGAAAGAGACAAACAGAGAAAGAAAGGGTGAATGGGGAATGAGCATCTTTCAAGAGAGACAAAGTGCAAAAGTTAGTTCACTTTTACGTTCCCCTTTTGTTCTTTCTTTCTTCTCTCCCCACTAATACCAAAAAGAAGAAAAAGTAGTAAGGAAGCTTTTGCTTTTGTTTGCATCTAAGCACAAAACAGTTCTTACTTCTTCTAAACAGGGAATAGAAGGAATAATAATTATAAGATTCAAAAAAGATACAGACACAGACATCACGAGGACCCATGTGAGTGTCTCTTCCTCTGCTTATGTAGAAATGAATAAGACTCCTTCTTCTACGTTTTAACAGCACCCACTTGTTCTCATTTTCTTACCTCAGAATCAGTGATGGTGACCTAGCGTACCTTAGCAGCCAACACTAACATTAACTCAAGTGCGCCAATGGTGTTAGCCCCCCCATCTTTTGGATAGGACACGGATGGCCTAGATGTGGATACCCTGCTAATGATGTCAAAATAATGGTAAATTGTTCCAATTTCTATATTTATATATATTTTTTCCTTTCGTCATATCACTCTGCACATTTATCATTTATTTCTATAATAATACTTAGTAGTGTCAAAATATCTTTTTCAAATTTCAAATCTCACCATTCAAAATTACTTAACCAAGCATTTTTATCAATATTTTAAAGTAATGTTGGTACAAGAAAAATATTGTTCTATTTCGTTAATTTTGACTTCAAGTTTGTTTGTCTGTAATTTAAAATCGATTTCAAAGAAATTTTTAAAAAAATATGCATTATAAATGAATTTTTAGGATTGAAATACCCATGTTGTAAAGGACACAAGTTAGTAGGCGAGACAATATTTATAATTATTTCACTTCTCATTTATCACATATATATGGTAATTCCTCACTTCTGCTTGTGTGGTGGTGATTTTTCTAAGTCATGATATGTAAAGACCCGGAAACAAAATGTATGTTAATGTGACTATCATTTCTCTTTGGTTAAATTGCTTACCAAGTGCACAAAGTCACGGGTCACACAGATAAAGTTGTATCTGGTCGCTCGTACTTAATTGTTCAATGATGATACTATTGGCTACAATTTATAATTAGTTATGTTGCTTAGTTTTCATGTGAAACATGGTTTTATTTTAATATTTTCGTGAAACGAAGTAACTCACCTTTTTTTATGAGTAATAACTCGCTTTAGCCGTCATATAACAACATATATTAGATTTTTCCTTTTTGAGTATATTGTAACTAACCTTTCTAAGAATCACCTTTTTGTTTCTCCCCGTGCAAGTTTGTGAGATTATTTTGACTATACTTATACCAAATATTAACTATTCAAAATCCTTAATTATTTCATACGAAAGATCAGATCTCGTCCAAATGTATCAAACAATTGGAAGAAGCAACTGTTCTTTGTTTTCTATGTAAGATAACTATTCACCACTAACAGCTGCCAAATCAATATATTTTATTCGAACGTGTTTGATTTAATTTATGTTTTAGAAAAATAATTACAATTATTTTGTAAGAATTAACCATTTATAAACATGTGCAAATCAATCAAATGCAGTTTTCAATCCCCTTCCTCTCTCCCTCACTGTGGAGGGAAGCGGGGGTACCCTTCTCTGTCAAAATTTTCAGCTGCTAGTGTGCATGGAATTAGACATTTGACTCGTGCTAAGTTTCAAAGTGTTTAAGGAAAAGTAACATAATTTTCAAGCTCTAGACACATGAAAACAGCTAAACATTGGTATATGTATTTCATAGACATGCATCATTCATTAGGCTCTACATACATGTTTCCATTCTGGGTAAACCGTACTAATTATCTCTTAGATGGACGTACACAAAGAGCGATCACAAAAACAATATAACCCCAAAAAGAGAGGAATATAAAGGAAATGAAACTAGCATGTAAGGTGGGAAGAATTAAAGCTATAAATAATTAAATATGCAAAAATTAACATAAGAACATAAAAAGCTAACCTCCATTGAGCCAGAGAACAAGAGGTTTATTCTCTGGGGAAGTGGTGGCCTCAGTGAACCAGTAAAAGAGTGCTCGACCATGTTGCTCATTGACCGTGACATAACCAGAGAACTGAGAAAATGTCACTGGTGGCTGCCCCGGGAGAGCAAAGATTCGATCTTGCTCTTGCTCTTTTGGCACAGCAACAATGCATGAAATATTTGAAAAGCTTAATAATAAGCACATGAAGAAGAAGAAGAGATGAAGGGTCTTGGTTTGAGATGCCATCATTGCACCCTTTATATCTATGATCATAAATAAGGTTCAACACAGTATAATAACGTTTCGTTCTACTAATATGTGTTGTCTGTATGAGTCAGGGAGAGAGAGAGAGAGAGAGAGAAAGGGGAAATGGGTAGGGTGAAATTATATGTAAGAAGACAATCACAAAGGTTTTTTATATGTGGGTGTGTGTGTGTGTGTGTGTGAATGGAGATATTAATTAACTACATATCATAGAACTGGGTGTGGATGTCAATGTCTCAATTGTAAGTTAGTGATTGGATTGACCTGGCTTTGCTATTGCTGTATTACAACTACAACACAACTGTGCTAGTTGGCCATCCCTGTAGAGTGTGAACCTTTCTCTCTCTGTGGTCAGAGAGAGAGAGAGAGAGAGATGGTCCTACAAAGCCATTGAAGCTTGGATCAGAAAGCCGTTGAGAACTCAGAAAGCAACATCATAAATGCATCACTCAAGGGACCCATAATATATGGCATTACTCTTTCTGTTCCTCCCTCTTAATTTCTCTCAACCTCAAATCAGCACTCACAATTTATGTTGAAAATGGCTATTATGTAATGTACGTTTTTTTAATAATGATAACGTATTTTGTTGATACATGTAATGTGGTATGTTTGGAGTGATTTTTTCTCTCAAAAAAAGCACCATTAATTTGGAAGTATGTGCCAAATCTATCAACTTCAGCCGGCTGGTCTTATAGTTGACTCAAATAATAAAAATTACACTAAAAACTATAGAATGATGCACGATCCTTTAATAGCTATTATTATTTGGTCAAATCAAACTAAATGGTTGGCGTATGCATATGGACGTATTAAATTTCAAATTGACTTGCTTTTCAATCAAACAAATTAAAAAACTTGGATTTCCAGATAATGTAAACATGAAGGTAGCTCATCTTGGATCAATTTTATATTGTGATATATTATGTAATATTGTTGTTTTCCCCTCGCCTCCCTTTTGTGGTCCTAGTAAGAAGGAAGCATGCCGAGACGTGGGGTTGCATTTCTTGTTAGAACCTTTGGATTCCTTGACATATAAGACATGGGGTTGTAGTAATGCCCCGTCCATTTGAGGGCTCACAAGAAAAACTTGTCCTTGTTGCCTCTTATTATTTTTATTCAATTTAAGACCGCAGAGGTTGATGTAACACAATCAAATTGCATCACTACGAATGGAAAATTAAGTATATCGGTTTCTACCAAAGATAAATTAATTCCCCTCCCTTACAAAATGGTATGCAGATACACAAGTGCAAGTGGTATTTTGCTTTTTAAACTTGGAGTAAGTGACGGCAATTTGTAGGATCTGATCATTCAAGGATTAGTCCACCAACCAATATCGTATATCATTTTTTTTTAACTGTTAATTAAGGAAAGTGGTTACATTTGTTTGCCAAATCACATCTCAGAAGATGGAAAGGTAGTTATGATAAATTAATTTATAAAGCTATAATTTCGTAATAGTTGTAACTTTTCCGTCAATATTTTAGGTTTCCTAGCTTTGGTTTACCAACCTAACATTTTTTAATATTAATTCGATATCCTTCAATTTAATCAATAACTTTTAGATGAATGTATCCATATGTTAGATGATAAGCAAATTTATCTACCACGGTGCCCAGGCAAATAGGTAGAAATATTTAGTAATTTATATCAAGCGTACCTGGTTCATTGCGTTCTAGTATCAAAGGTCTCACTTCAAAGCAGTTTTCACAGCCAATTTTGATTACACATACTGTGAACATTTGATCTCCCTTATCTACTCTGTTAGGCTGAATCAAATGTTGAGAATTTAAAGAGCCTAGTTAGCTACTCTTTCAAAATTCTTACTTGCTACCTAAAATTGAAATATAAGGAAGATGGATGTTTCAGTCCAAGCTTTGCTATTTTTCTAGCTTCCACGTGCTTGCAAGCAAGCATAGAAACTAGATAATTAGTCAGCCAAAGTTGCTTCAACCTCTGTGAATTCGAAGTAGATGAATTATTTATTGTGCTATCCATTTCCACACATTAATTCAACTATATATATACATCACTATTTTTCTGTGCCGCACGGGGAAATAGTACAGTAAATTGGACCGACACTTGAAAGTCGGCACACAAACACATCCATAGCAAATTGCCAGATCAATGGTTTCAATTTAGTCACTAATTAATATAGTTTTTGTTAAATTTTAATAATTAAATGATTTCAATTAATTAATAAATATTTTTTATTTTAATTTAATTAATGAATTGGTAATTGATTTAGGTGATATATATGTGATTCTTCTCAATAATTCAAGGAGATGGGTTAGTATTTTAAAATTTTTTCATTTGATCCATATGGGTGGTTTCCCACTAGGCACATTTCTTGGGGTCGCTCGAACGAGTACTAAAAAGGGGGTGTTCGATATTCCCTCCTTCACCCAAAGAAAGAGGCTGTTGTTCCAGCGGCTACGGCACCAGCTATTACTTATTACATTCATGTTAGTATTAAATATTGCAAAGATGGAGAAAGAAGGATCCTATGCTCACACATCTATGTTTGTCCTTGTTTAAGAGAAACGGCCATTATCCAAATAAAGGCATATTTGAGTGGTTGCTTTGGCCTTTAAGCAGTTGAAATTTTGAAATTTCTTCTTTCTTGAATTGAACTACATAACTTGTGCTCATTTCATGAGTTTTGTGGCCATTCATTACCTGGGGGAATAAAAACTGTGGGGCACACTATTTTGTTGCTACATGCATGATCATGCACTAGAAGATTAATTTTCAGCTTTGTCTTTGGATTGTATAAGCTAAGACCTCTATAAGCATTTGCTTGTGATGGATTTTAACATATGTTGGAGGTGTTTTGTGCATGTGGAGAAGTGAAGGAGTGGATCCTTTTCTTCTACCTATACAAAACAAATTTAGTCAATGTTTTTCTTGAGAAATATGGTCACTAATACGTGATCCTTTGAATTATATATTAAGTTTGACTGGTTATTGTAGGTTATATGCATGCCTCTTTATATAATTAATTATATTTAGTCAATGGATCTTTTGAACAGAAAACCAGGTACAAGTGGTGACTTGTGTGGGTGGATAGAATCAATAACAACAAAAGTATTATATTTTCCCTAATCTATAAGTAATTAATTTGATAAGGAAAGCAATGATGTGACCTTCTACTGAATCAATTATTTGCATCAAGAGCTTAAGAAACATATAGTTTATACACAAAAGTCAAAATCTGAAGTGGCTTATATTTGGTCATCTGGTTATCCTTTTAGGGTTTGACATTATAATATATTAACAACTATAATTTTCAGTAAAGTGTGTTATCGAAACATATAGAAACAGCCCTTAGAAAGAAAAGAAAAGAAAAAAACAAAAAGAGGCTAAATTAAGAGAACTAAATTATCATCCAGATTTAAAGATGATCTTTAAGTAAATTTTAGAAGTCTGAAAAAAATGTCAATATATCTATCGTTTTTTTTTATTATCAATATATATATATATTGAAGTACACGGGTTTTTATATTTTCATTTCATTTTTAAAACGTGTTTACTCTCAAATTTTAATGATTTTCATACTTTACACTTCCATTAATGAAGAATCATAAAGTCATGCGTGCCTTTGATAAATACACAAAATTCTAAAAATGACTTGGTTATATCCTCATTAAGTTGTTAACTATCGAAATCAGATGATTGACTTTTATCATTTTTCTATTTCAATCATGTTCTTAGTTAAGAGGAAGAAAAGTTGAACACTTAAACATTATATACTAACATTCTATATGCTACAAATTTCAATAATTTATTCATCATATCCTATCATATAATAGCGTTACTGGTTGAATAATCACATGGTCCTACTCTTAGTCAATTTTGGAAAATACTAAATAAAATATTATGTTATATCTACTTAAAGTAGCTAATTATATAAAATTAGATAATTGTGTTTTATAATTTTATGCTTCGGTCATGTTCTTATCTAGTTAAGAGAAATAAAAACGGAACTGTATAATGCTTGAAAAGGCTATTTTGGGGTTAGAAGTTATTAGATGAGTTTTATCTGGTGAGACTGCAGAAAAAAAAAAGTTATTATTTGTAATTGACAGCTATCAACCACAGATAATACTACTTTTGTTTGCAGTTGATAGTTATTAACAGCAAAATAATAATTTTTTTTCTGCAATCCTACTTAATAATTGCATATTATTGTGATTGGTTTTTCTTTTGCAAAACATTTTACAAAATCCGTATGTGACCTATTTTATATGAATGCATATATGGTATTTAGCCCTAATGCAGTCTATAATCAACATTCTTTTACTGTAACTGTAATTTATACATTATCAATGACATCTCTCAATAGTTTAAGAATTTATACAAAATTCTTTAAGTTCAATAATATAAGAATTCTAACAATATCTCTTAGTATCTACAAGAAACAAGAAGATTCAAGAGAAAAAGAATAGTTACAATAATTTACAAAAGGATAAGTAGCATGTTGTATTGTTGCACTTGCTCTTGCTCTTGTTTTTTCTAAAAGGACATCTATCTATCTATTAGACACAAAGTATGCTATTTTCAAAGTCTTTTTGCTTCAATAAAAGTGTCTTTTGAGATTTTTCTTTTGCTTCTTTATCCAAAATATGTTTAGCATGTAAAATGTGTAAAAAAAAAGTATTTTTGTCTTCATAACTAATCTTCAAGATAGAGATTTGTTTCTTTTTGTCAAAGAATATTATTGGTTACTTCTGTAAAATGTTGATAATAGTTTCTTGTTGATTCTCTTATATAGATTGTTGGCTCACATACATTGTCTTGTATAGTAGTTGATGCGTTTAATATATGTTAGTTTCAAATACTTAACAAAATCATCAAATAATAATATAAAATTTATCTAAATTTTAATAATTTTTCATATATTAAAATTCAATAAAAACACTATTAGAGGTCAATTGATTATAGCACTAGAATAGTTAATTAACTTACTAGTTTGTATTAATTTTCTTACGCTCCTCTAATTTAAAATCTTGTTTTAACACGTGATTCTACATTATTCATTCTAAAATACACTGTTCTCCCCTAATAGAAGCTTAAATTGCATTAGCATTACCGTTTATTTTAAGAAAAAATAGATTCGCATCATTAGTATATGCTATACCGTAGTTCATTTTAATGTGAACGAGTATGTTAGCAGCGGTGAACAGTTTATGAACAGCTAGGAGTGTTTTTATCTCTATAGCTTC